GATAACTCTGTAATGGATCAGTATTTACAAGTAAATCACGTAAGTTTTTGCTCCTGCGATAACAAATCATGTATTTGTATGACATTTGGCTTTGGCTTTAAAGCACCGGGCCCTCAAAATTTATCATTTAGCCTGAGTGCAAGGACACAAGTCCCTTTATATATATATATATATATATATATATATATATATATATATATAACTTGTAACCAAACATCTCCGGTCTTCACCTCCAGAAATGTAACTCAAGACTTACCAGAATTCCGCCCTATTTGTCAGAACTTAACCAATCTCAGCTAGTGCACCCTCCACCCCCTTTAAAATAGGCAGGTGAACTTAACCCCACCAGCTGCAGCATTCAACTAATGCTGAAGACCACACCACCAGCCTTGTCAGTCATACTATGCCAATCACTATTAAAAATGTCCAAACCAACATCGGATAGTTGAATAACATCACTAAAAAACAAACCTTCACACTGATCTGATAGCATAAATTTCTCCATGGCTTTGTTAAGCTTGTGCCTAACTCTTTCTAGACCTCTAACCATACCAGCCTTGGGACTATCTCTGTCCAAATGATTAAAGAATCTAGGAACATCCATTTAAATTGCCAAATCCCTTCTCTAAATTGGTGAAACAGAACCACTGACTTGACTCTACCTACACCATTGCCCCCATAATAAAAAATAATACTACGTGGCCAAGGCAATTGACTAGAATGATTTTGAAACATTAAACACATTGTCCCTTATCAAACCTCTTACACCAACCCAAAAAATTAAAACAGTCTCATTAGCATAATTCACATTCTCACCGTACGATCTCTTCACGGCTCTTCTATGTGCCCAGTGGAAAAATAATGGCATACAATCCACACAATAATTGGTCCTGTATCTGAAAAGAAAAACAGTAAGTAACCATATTTTCAAAAAAATTAAGACATAACAGAAATGTTTAATCTATTTGAGGACCATCGCCCCACCTTCTTAACCCCTTCAGACCGGAGGGCGTACTATTACGCCCTATTCTAAGCGGCTCTAAACGTCGCCGGGCGTAATAGTACGCCCTCCGGTCTTTCGGTACTTACCCGGTCGCCGGCGGTCCCACGCCGGCGATAGCGGTGGGGGGGACTCCCAGGAGCCCCCCGCGGCACGTCCGTCCTCCTCGAAGCCCCCCGGCCATGTGAGAGTGGGGTCCTTGCGAGGAACCCACAATCACATGGCTGGGGGTAGCTGCCTCCTGCATTGCCAGCAGGGGGACTGCCTGTAATGACAGGTGGTCCCCCTGCTGGCTGAAAATAAAATTAAAATAAATAAATAGTGTAAAAAAATAATAATATATACTTAGATCATATATATATATGATCTAAGTATATATATATACACATATACACACACACACGTACACCGTCTAGGTGTATTTTACTATTAATATATATATAATTATATATATATATATATATATATATTAATATCAAATTACACGTAGACTGATACTGATTAAATATATATATAATTATTGTTATATATATATTTATATATAATATAAAAAAAATAAAAATGTAAATACGTTAAAAAATAAAATTAAAAAAATAATTAAAAATAAATAATTAAAAATATATAGATGTGTGTTATTTCGTTCTAACTGTATTGTGAAATTAATATATATATATATATATCAAAATACACATAGAATGAAATAATATATATATCTATATACATAAATATATACGTATATATCACTATATATATATACCTATATATAAATAAAAATATTTTTAAAAAATTATATAGATATATACATATATATACACATACGTATATATATACATATATTAATTCTACATATATATTTATGTAATATTTTTTACATAATTAGGTATCTTAATTAATTACAATTAGCGGGACCTGCCTGACAACCCATGCCGAAAGTAAAGGGAATTTAATTTGCTAGCACTATATTTAACCCTATAACTTTCCAAGACACCATAAAACCTGTACATAGGGGGTACTGTTCTACTCGGGAGACTTCGCTGAACACAAATATTAGTGTTTCAAAACAGTAAAATGTATTACAATGATGATATCGCCAGTAAAAGTGACGTTTTTTTGCATTTTTCACGCACAAACAGCATTACACGGACAATATTATTGCTGTGATACTTTTTACTGTTTTGAAACACAAATATTTGTGTTCAGCGAAGTCTCCCGAGTACAACAGTACCCCTCATGTACAGGTTTTATGGTGTTTTAAAAAGTAACAGCGTCAAATATAAGGCTTGTGTTTCATTTTTTTCACATTAAAATTAGCCAGATTGGTTACGTTGCCTTTGAGACCCTATGGTAGCCCAAGAATGAAAATTACCACTATGATGGCATACCATTTGCAATAGTAGACAACCCAAGGTATTGCAAACAGGGTATGTCCAGTCTTTTTTAGTAGCCACTTAGTCACAAACACTGGCCAAAATTGGCGTTTTTGCATTTTTCACACACAAACAAATACTAACGCTAACTTTGGCCAGTGTTTGTGATCAAATGGCTACTAAAAAAGACTGGACATACCCCATTTGCAATACCTTGGGTTGTCTACTATTGCAAATGGTATGCCATTATGGGTGTAAATTTCATTCCTGGGCTACTATAGAGTCCCAAAGGCAATGTAACCAATCTGGCGAATTTCAATTTCAAATGTAACGTGCTATATTTGACCTGTAACTTCCCAAAATGCCATAAAACCTGTACATAGGGGGTACTGTCTTACACGTGAGACTTTACTGAATACAAATATGTGTATTTTATTGCAGTAAAAGCAAACAATATTATGACATTGACCGTTAAAATGTCATGTAGAACTAAAAAAATTAAAAAAATCGTATTTTCTCCCATTTTTTTCATATTAAATTATGTTTCATAGCTAAATATTTGATATTAAATGAAAGACCTGTTTCCCCTGAATAAAATGATATATAATAAGGGTGGGTGCATTTACTATGAAAGAGGTGAATTACGGTTGGACAGACATGTAGCGCAAATGCCAGGTTTTGTTTACATTTTGTTTTGTTCACGTGTACATTTGGCTCCGTTCTTAAGGGGTTAACTAACTCATTAGACAAACCTTGTGACACTGCATCTTTTGCAGCATCTATACTAAACAAATTAACATGTAATCCTTTTTCTTAATTGTTTGCATACTAATTGGAGAACTTTTCAAAATTGAAACTTAGGAAGAGGAGTTCCTGAATGATGTATTAGAAGACTACCTTGTATTCTAGGGCAAATATTTAAAATGGCTTTGACCAAATCTCCCAATAGTTGGAAGGAAATAGGGTACCTGCTATCACAAACAGGTGATTTTTTTTACTCAAACCCTTTCAACATTTACTGAATAACAAATTCTTTAAAAATAGATTTAAAAAAAAAAAAATACTTTAAAGAGAAAGGAAATGCCTAGTAACAATCTATTTAATTAAAACCTAGATGCACCAGATTTAATTATATTAATAACAAATGAAATTGCATCCTGTACACTGGGTTCAGTGGCGCCCTTATCGAGATTAACCATAAACATGTGCCACTCTTGCCACTCATCAAATGCATGTAAATAACTTTCCATGTGATTGATAATAATGACAGGCCTATGAATTTACTTATTTGGACTAGCTCCCAGATATGCTCTGGCAACTTCGTTCCATATTCGTCCGCTAATGGTGCAAGTGATCTGAAAGACTTTAAGTCAACACGGGACAAAGAATCAACTATGCAATTCATTTTGCAACTTACAAATATTGCTTTTACCCATATATTACCAAGCAAATTAAGACCAATCTTCTTAATAAATTAATTACAGGGGTAATTTTGCTTGGAGGGAATTAATTACCCAAACAACCCCTAAGTTGTCACAATGAAAAGTAATTCTCTTATTGGATAATTCTGAGTCTCAGACTTCCAAGGCTACAACTTTCGGAAAGAGTTCCAAAAGAGTTATCATCTTGGTCCAAGCATTATCAACCCATGTCTGAGATCATCTAGCAGCTGCCAATTTGCCTTGAAAGTAAATGCCAAAACCTTGTGAACCAGCTGCATCAGTAAAAAAAATCTAATTCCCAATTATATACAAAATCACTTTGCCAAACCATAGAACCATTAAAGTTGCTTAAAAAGGCATTCCAAACTTGTAAATCTACCTTGTCTGCCTGGATCTTTGTATCTAGTGATGCGGATATTTAAATCCGGCTAACGCTCTAGCCATATGTCTGTAAAAGGCCCTGGCCATCGACATTACACTTGATGCGAAATGTAATAAGACTGTAACCTTTTACTGGTGTTTTGTTAACACCCAAATAAACTGGAAATTTCTTGTTTCATTTTAACAATTTTCTCTTCAGGAAGACGAAATTCCATTTTTTCTTAATCAATTATTATTCCTAAAAACTGTAAACAGGTACTAGGCCAGAACAATTTCTCTTGCCAAGGGAATGCCAAATTGTTGGCATGAACTTTTTCAGTAAATTAATGCAATCAGCGGATCCAGCTTTTCCAATGAAAAGAAAATTGTCTAAGTAGTGAATAGTTGATTGTAATCCAGAAACCTGCTTAAGAACCCATTCTAAAAACCATGAAAAACGTTCAAAGTAAAAGAAAGAACCAGAAAAGCCCATAGAAATGCACTTGTCAAAGTAAAAAATTCCCTTAAATTGAAGTAAACAATCAGGATGTATAGGAAGTAACCTTTTATCATGAGAGCACTCTGACCGCACAGCCTTACCCATTTCAACGCATCCTCAAAAGAAGTGTAATACACAGAAATAATGGAAGCATCCACCTTATTGTCCATAGATGCACCTTGAGGGTAGCATAAATGGTGGATTAGTCTATAGGTCCCTTTCTCTCTTTTTTTAAAATTTTATTTATTATTTTTGCTGTGCAGAGGTTTACAAGCAATCATGTCATGCCACAACAGCAGTTGACACAAACGTCATAATACATACCGTATATACTCGTGTATAAGTCGATCTCATGTATAAGTCGAGTGCAGTTTTGTGACCAACAATTGTGAAATATGCTATGCCTCGTGGATAAGTCGAAGGTAAAACTTGGGGCTATGAAATTCTGTGATTTTTATAATTATATACACACACACTCATACAAACACACACTCTGCATTATATACACACACACACACACTCATACAAACACACACTCTGCATGATATACACACACTGTGTATATCATGCAGAGTGTGTATATAATGCAGAGTGTGTTTGTGTAGTGTGTGTGAACTGGGTAATATTGTAATATTATTATTATTTTTATTATTTTTTTATTATTTTAATTTTTTTTGTCCCCCCCCCCCCTGCTTGTTAACTGGTCAGGGAGGGGGGCTATCTTAATCCCTGGTGGTCCAGTGGCATGGGCTGTGAAGTGGGGGGGGCCGGCAGGAAGCATTTACTTACCTTTCCTGCAGCTCCTGTCAGCTCCCTTCTCCTCCGTTCCGGTCAGCTCCACTGTAAGTCTCGCGGTCTGGTTGCCGCGCGGATCGTTGCCATGGCTCTGACGGCCGCGGCTCTCTAAGTTGCCATAATACAGACAGTGACTCGAGTATAAGTCGAGTGGGGGTTTTAAAGCACAAAAAATGTGCTGAAAAACTAGACTTATACTCTAGTATATACTGTAGCTTACATTTGAGAAGGCATTTAGAGAGAACATGCACAATTTTTTTGTAGATTATAATGATAGGCATAGAACCATGCATGGAAAACATATCTAGCTGTGACTAGTGGTAGGTGCTTTTAAGCGACTAGGAGACTACAAAACAGTAGGCCATAAGCAAAATAGGGTATGCTGAATAGCGTTTAGCGCTTAGCATGGTCTTGTTTGGCAAGATAAATTTTTAACCTCGGTTATATAGCTTGGCTACTCTGTACTATTCCATCTTACAAGAAAAATAAAATAAAAATGGCAGTGGTACTGCAAGTTAAGCTAGATACACAGTGCTCATTAGGATGCTAGTGACCAGTGTCTCTGCTTATTACTAGGGATTGTAGTTCCCTGGGAGCTAATGTATTGCATAGTGGGGCATGTGTTGGGCACCTCTTAACCAGGGGATCTGCCGAAATGTGACGACTAGTTTACCCCACACCTATTGTATTTGTATTGTATGTGCTGTGTCTTGGTGGTTATGGTCCTCTGGGCCTAGTCTAGCTCCAATCCCCCTACCTCATGCAACATACAGTCCATGGTGTTTGTAGTTGTCAGGCTCTATGTGGGCATGCAAAGTTCGCTGGGGAAGGTGGTGAGGCAGTCTCCATGATTGGCATTACTCCAGTCCTGGACATGGGTACAGGTGATCTGGGATTCCCAGTCCTTTCCTTGACGGGGAGTGCGTGAGGTTCCGACAGACTTTCTGTTTCATTTGGCAGTCCTCCGCTTGCGTGGGTGGTGTTTCTTGTTGACCCTCTGCCCAGGAGGGTATACTGTGGGTGACTTAGGCGTGTGATGGTCGGTGGTGCCCAGATGGTGCTTCCCCGCTCCGTCCTCCGATCCTTCCGTGCTGTCTCCGTAGGTAGGGAGGTAGGGATTGAGGACAGTGTACAGCCCCTGTGGTCAGGAGGATTAGTGTGGTGCTGTGGCAGGTTTCGGATCTCTGGGCCAGTTTTTGCAGAGTCGTCTCTCAGGATTGTATAGCGCTCTGTGCCCAAAGGTTTCAGACCTGGATGTGAGGCGGCCTCCATTTTAACTGGTTCAGTGTCGCGGGTGTCATGCCACTTTGATGCTGTTGCGGTCCCTCCAGCAGTAGGTAGGTAACGTCGCTTTGTTGGTGCTGGGGTTACCCCCACCAGTGGGGGGGTGTGGACAGGGACCTTTCCTCCTTGTTCATTGTGATCCACTTTATCAGCGGAGAGGTCGGCCGAGATTCCCCCGCCTTGATTCTCTGTTAGGCCGCAGAGGCTTCTTGATTTGTAAACTGCTTGTTTCAGAGTCCAAAACCCTGCAGATTTCGTCTGTGCTTAGTGCTGGGCGTCCCCTGCACTCTCTGTGCGAGTGTGAGCAGGTATTTAGCTGCGGTGAATCACTTAATTTTCCAATTTTGCAGTGTTTTTCATGGGGCTCTCTCCATGTGCAGCCTGTCAGGATGGCGGTCAGGCTCCACCCCCCCGTCTCTTTTTTGGATGCTCGCCCAAACAAAAACACTCTCAAGCATGGAAAAGGCAGAACTGAAAACTAATAAGGGAGTGGATTTTTTATTTTCACTGGGATTCAGGGCCTCAGGAATCTACTTCCTAATGGTCCATAGATGCACCCAGTTTCTTAAAGCACCAAAGGATGGGTGATTCCCAGCACAATTCAGTCATTCATTTCTAAATTTGCAAGAATTGGGCCATTTGCACTGGGCCTCATTAAATGCCAAACAAATATCTTTAGGACACAACTGTGGCACACTAGCTGGTGTCTGAGATCTATATTGATTCTGTGGAAACTTGCTTAGTAGCATAATACCTAACCAAGAGCCCACATCATTCATACCTCATCTCAAATTCTTATTAACAGATGGTTTTTGATGAAATATTTTGTCATAATTGTACCGAAACAATTTACCAACATTTTACCTCCAATATTGATTCTAAATGGTGGAAAAGTCTGCTAGCTTTATCCGAATGACGTTCACAATAGACGATAGCAAAATTACAGAAAGCCTGAAGTCAATTGTTAAACGACCGGGGCACTGGGTGTTTCCTGTCTTCCTCGCTTTCATATACAAACACAAAGATAAAGCTCCGCGCTTACAGCAGCAGTAGCTTAGTATCCAACAGCTTAAAATACATTGTAAAAACAAAGAGAATGTTACCTGCGCCCTGGCCTAAATCCCCATGTACATTTAAACAAAATGAAGGCTCTTTAGTTTTACTCCAATGGCCATTTGAATATATAATCTCACCTGCCACGTCAAGGCAAGCCTCAATAGGTGAGTTCCTACACTAGCCATTAGATATGTTGATATCAGCCAAGAATCTCCAGTAAGACAGGAAGGGGTATTTTATAAACCCTTTCACATTTAACTCTTTATAGGGCTTCTACACATACAATAAACTTTGCTGGTATCAGACAAAGTGTAAACATCTCTAATGAGACAGGGAGGGGTATTTTATAAACCCTTTCACATTTAACCCTTTATAGTGCTTCTACACATACAATAAACTTTGCTGGTATCAGACCTTTAAAAAAATTCCCTAGAGGCTGACAATAAGGAAAAAATATATTCATCATTCCATATTTTTTCTTTCATGGAATTAGCTAAATGAAAACCCAATGGTGAAGTGTAGAGCAAAAGCTAATGCTTTTAATTAGTCAAGCCTTAATTAGAGGGTGAGCAACCCAGTGGTGAAGCTTCATAAGCTAATGCTTCTTTAAACAAGCTTCATTAACAGGTGTACTATTCCTGCCAGGTCGATTGACTGTATTAGCAAACATAGGTGTATGTGACATCTTCCCAAACCCATCCTGTAACCAAGCTTTACCTTGCAAAGCGTGAAAGCAGAAACCCTAAAGCCTTTCCTAGCTTAACCTGCTGAGAAACCCCAGGAAAGGACTCAACAGTTTAATTATCCGCTCGGTCCGAAGGCACAGCACATGAGGTACCTGATTGTTCACTGTCTTCAGTGGCGTATTTAAATCTATTTTTCCTTGCATATCAATTAAAAAGGGAATGCTCACTGATCTTTTATTTTTCATTGACATTTTTTTCATCCAATACATTGGCTCAGTTTTTTCTTTATAAACAGCTGCATTTAATGCTGCTATGTATCTGTGACTAAACTTTTTCGGCAAAATGTGTTTGGTTTTTGCTGGCCCTGCTTGAAACTTTAAATTAGTTTGAGTTACTTTTACAACGGCTTTTAAAAAAAATATATATTATTGTTAAGCCTATTGGTAAGTATTCTAATTTACTCAGATGGCTGGGAATACGGGACAAATATATTTTTGGTTTCTAAATTACTATTCTCACTAAACAGCTGTCCAGGGGAAAACAGAACAGGAACAGACTTTACTTGAGAAAAATTTTTCCTATCCCCTTAAGGACCAAACTTCTGGAATATAAGGGAATCATGACATGTCACACAAGTCATGTGTCCTTAAGGGGCTATGCAGTTATTTGAAATTCACTTTGATTAAACATAAAATTTTCCAGTCCAGTTTTACTCTGTATGTATTTACTAACAATAGTCAGGTTCAGCCCTGTACTATTTGGTGACATGGCAATTTTTGTGTTACAGCAATGTCAACATTTATTAACATGCAAGACTAAGAAAGCAGAGCGAAAGCCAAATAAAGTCAGTAGCTCACCATACAGACACACATTTCTTGTGAATGGATTTCAGCAATGCTTTGAATGTACTACTATAAGGTATGATTTGTCTTTCTTTATCATTATCATGCAAAGTGTGTTAATGCAGTTTGCTTTTTAACACTATGATATATATAGTAATTAAACATTTTTAAACTATGTATATGTGTTTTTAATTGTTTTTTTATCTTTTGGTATTAGAATGATATAAAGTAGCATGTTTTGACACTTTAAACCAACATGATATTTTAAATGCACATTTTAATAGAAATGTACTTTTTATATCTCAAATTCACTTGAATTAAACCCAAAATATACTAATAATTAGCAAATGTAGTTAAGTGCTGCCAAGGCTCATTTAAATGTGCCTGAAAAGCATCTATCTCACAATCAATTTTTCAATGTTAGTAAAAAAAAACAAGACATATTTCTGTTGGGGAATAATTGAAGGTTTATAAACATACATTTGTTTGAACATGTTATAGCCATAGAATATACGTCAAATAAAACAATGTGTGTTTTTTAGAGCGTTAATTTTATAGTACTCTTATTTAGTTTGTGTTCCATATTTTGAGGTGTATAACATAAATATAATATTATGGGAGTGTGAAATGAGGTTTAATGGATTTTTCTAAGACAAGAAATAAAAAAAAGTGGATTTCAATAGATAATGTTAACAAGTATATGCTAAATCATTATCAAGAAAAAATATTTACTTCTCGTGTGAATTCGGAATAAGCATTTCAGTAACTCCAAGGGAGAAGTACAGTGATGACATTTAAATCATCGAATTAAAGATAAATAAATAGTTTAACTCCCTCTAAGTGTTAAACATGTAAAAACAAAAGCTTTCACTAATACGC